AAAAAAAAAAAAAGTCAGCAGACTAAAGTGGAACTGTGGCAATTAAAGACTGTGCACAAAACCCACGCCCCCTGAGTGCCCCACCCCTCACTCCCTAAGTTATCACTGCTTCTGGGTCCACTGCTGCTTCACATGCACAATAAGTATGACGATGCGTCCACCTCACAGACGGATGTGAGGATTTTATCAATTGACACTTGCAATGCACGGCAGCACGTGGTCCATGACATTGTTTAAGAAACCAAATCAATCATCTATTGTGTCTGAAATGAGAGATCAGCAGCCCCTGACCCTGAATCAGATGGCATCCACGCCACAGGACACTGGCCATTCCCAGCCACAGGCCAGCCCTCTCCCATGTCACACCCTGTCCACACCCTGAAACCTGAGTTTGGGAGTGGGCACTGGATCTGCATCTCCCTCAATTAAGACAGCAAAAAGCAAAGGGATTGGTACCCTGGCATGTCACTTTTAATAATTTGCTGACCCAAAAGTGAAATTAAAATCTGCTAACCCATGATTTAAATTTGGCTTTCAAATAGTAGGATCCTATAGTCTATTTTAAATACTATTCCTTAAAGAACAGTCTCTTTCCTCAAGAACATAGGTTTAAGGCTGAAGTAAAAGCTGAGATTTTCAAATAAAATGACCCTGTTAGCCTGGTTTTCAGTTACATCCCGACTGGGACTCAGAGGTAAGCAGCCCTCTTGCCACCCTGCGTGGAAGCAGCAGCCAGGCCGGCGGTGTGGCTGGAACAAGCAGGTGGCCGTGGCCGCCCGGCAGCCTCTCTGCTCCTTCCCTCATCTCCTCTGCCGAATAAGTCCGTGCTTCCCGAGGGAGCAGGTCTGGGTTGTGCCCGGGAGTCTGCATTCCCAATAAGCTTTCAAGTGACACAGGTAGAGATTGAGGCCTGGGGTGCCTTAGAACCTCTGACGCCTACCCACAGAAACACAAGCAGGGGGGCGGGGAGATGGGCAGCCTGGGGCTTGTCAGCAGACAGCAGACGTTCAAGCACTGCCTGAAGGGGGTTCTTCTGTGTGCAGAGCTGCAGAAGTCAGAGAGGATACGGACACATGCCAAACTCTTTGGAGGCAAGTATGCCAGACTCTCAAGTCCCTCAGCAATACCCAATAGTAATGGTCATAAAACCAATGAATACCTTTTGTAATATTCCTGGAACTGTCCGGGGATGAGGGCCACTGGGTAAGAACTGACCTTGGTTCGCTCTGTCGGTAACACTTTGTACTTCCCTTGAGGCACCTGGATAACCTGGGTTAACGTGAAGAGAAATACAAAACTGATTCCACGCTAGGAATCAAGGTTTTAGGAACACAACAGCTCTTGTTCTCCACTGTGCTCCTCCCCACCAAAGGCTAGAAACACAGGAGACATTAGGAACTAGAACCCAAGGGGACAGGAGGGTGTTTCTAGCTGTACATGGGAACTGTGTCTGGCTCTTTGCCACAGCCATCACTGCTGAGGGAAACGTAGTGTGCTTCTGCCCACCGCTGACGAGCAAGGGGACCTGGGCAACACATACGGCATCCTCATCTATGAAATGAGAAGAATACTAGCTTCAACCTCATATGGCAACTGTGAGTATTAAGTGAATTAAGATGGAAATTTCTTAAAACAACCCTTGGGACAAGCAAAAGTCAACTACAGAGCAAAAGACACCTCCCTCACACACACACAGAAGTGAGCTGAGTATTACTGGCATATCGTTAAAAATTGTATCTTAAGTTCTGGGGCAGAAAAGGACACACTGCCAGCAGAAAAAAAAAAAACAACGGCTAAATAAAGGAGGCGCTGAGCACTCTACCCTAACAAGCACAAAGTGAGGTTCAGGAACTAATAAAGTTAAGCAGCCCTACGTGTGTCTGCAAGTCAAAATAAGCTCTTCTTTCTTCCATACGTTCCCGGTTTAAGTTGCTGTTAAATTCAGCTGCTTTTTTGGCAGCTTTCTTAATGTACTCAGGCACTTTGCTGGCTTCAACCTTCTGAGTATTCTGTTGTTGCATTTGCTGAAATAAAAATATTACAGTTGGAAGTCACATACAACTTTACAAAATGTCATTCTCCCCAAACCAAATAAGAGATGCCAATCACCTCAATACTTACAGAATACTCTTTATAATGATCTGTAATTCGCTGACGTTCTTTTTCTTGTAAAATAACAGAATATTCAGCATGTTTGGCTGGATATTCTTTTATCATTAAATCAATCACTTCATCACTGCGCAATGCTGTTAAACCTATTTTAGACCAAAAAAATAGTTTAAAAAAAAGCTCTTTTAAGGCTAAGTGAACAAAACTACTTTTCAAAATTTGCTTTTCCTTTAATCTACTCTACATTTAAAATTTTCCAGTAGTCAAGGGAGAATACTGTAATATATTTGAAAATAATAAAAAACAATATTCATAATATAAAGTCAAACAATTTTTTAAAAAAAGCTCATCAAAGTTGCAAAGGAAAATAAATCAATTTTTGAACCACATTTTTTTTTAAGATTCAATGTACTATAAACATATATCCCTTTACTAAAAACAATGGCTAAATAATGATGCATACTAACTTAGACCATTGAGGATTAAGGATTATCCTTAATCTAATATCCTTAACTAAGGAAAGATACTAGACAAAAACAAGAGTTTTTCAATATATTGCAGTACTTAGTCTTCAAATTCAATACACTAGAAATATTACAAAGCGTCCATTTAAATTCCAAGAGAAGCATCAGCACGCACATACAAGTCATACAGGCAATTTTCAAAACTCAGAGCATCCGATCATATCAACTGTTGCGATGAACACCCATGGTTTTATGTTAAAAAGTGCCACGGCGCATTAAAATGTTTATTAAAGAAAAACTGGAAACAAAGCATGGAGATAAGGCTACAGAACTAAAAACAGAGCAAAATGTGCCTTATAAGAGATAAAGACAATACTTTTTAAAACTACTATACAAATTTGGCACACCACACACACGGACACTTCTGTGAAATATTGTTATGTCATTCTCCTTTATCTTTTAACAAAAACCAAAAATAAACAATTTAGCATTTAAATAATTCAATCTATCTCATTAATTTTGTAAAATACTTTAGGAAAAAGGACAAATACCCATCCAATATCACCTCATAAACATCTAGCTTTCAGAATTCCCATTCAAAGCCTCTGTTACCTAGAGTGCACTGCGTCTCTGTGATGACATTCAGCTCCCGCAGGTAGAGTTTCTCCTTATGGGACAAATCTCGTCGCTCTAAATCTCCAAAAAAAAGAACAAAAGACTATTAAAAATAGTCTTTTACATTTATAACATTATGCATTTGTAAAACTTTTAAAAACTTAAAAACCTTAAGATTTTTTTAAAAAGTTAAATTCTTCATGGACTTAAAAAAGTACTATGTGTTATATATTCCAAAGATTACTAAAGAGACCACGCAAACAATCTTACAAATTCAAGGAATAAAAGCTAAATTAAAGTTGAAAACAGAATAACCCAAAGCAAGAATAGTAACTTAGTTGCACAGACAGCTTTTCTCAAATGGAGACACAGCCTGGTGCAGCTGCCTCCCTCGCTCAGGCCAGCAAGCAATGGGAAAGAATCAAACTCCTGCTGCTTTCGGCCATAACATGACTTTTTCTAAGACTTTCCCCAGGAAATTCACCTTCCACATTCTGCTTTTAAGTCCATTTATAAGGCATAAGAGCAAACGGAGAGTGGAGAGAAACGTTGGGTGACAGCAGAAAGGAAAATCAGCCAGCAGAAGAATATACAGTACATTACAAATATTCCATACTCAAATATTCAGAAGTTGATAACCTATCAAAAAGAATTACTATTTAGTTAAAAGTTAGATTTAATCTGTTACATAAACTAAGACTTAATACCTGGATATTTCCGTTTAAAGGAGGTCACACCCAAATATTCACTGACTTGTTCTTGAAGCATATAGTATTCTCCTGTTTCATCAGGTGGCCATTTGTACTCTATCAAATTTTCTGCTGGATAGTAGCTAAAGCTAAGCACAGAAATATGTATTATGCCTTAAATGTGGCTTTTATTAAGCTTTAATCATTTTTAAGGATTTATTTTTGAGGAGTTTCATTTTTAGGAATTTGGAGAACTACTTTAATTATTTAAATTCTCATTCAGTCTTCTGACTCTGCCATACACACAAGTTCCTACCGTCTTGTGCGTCCAAGAACATCACAAACAGGCAGAGGGAAAGGAAGCAAGCGTGTGATACCAAACAAAACAGTACACTGGAACACTGGAACACACCCCAAAGAACCGAGACTCACAACTGTCAGCAATAAAGGAATTTTGTAGTGTTAAGAGATCTATAAGGCCAAAACAAAACGGTGGTGATATTCTTTCTGAATTCCCTCTCTTGAGCTTCACACCCATACTGCTATTTCATCCGCCCAAAGTACAAAGTCACCAACTCGTTTCCCACCTGCTGTTCAGTGAGTCAAACAGCTAAGAAAGCAGAACTCCAAAAACGTGTTTCTCAAAGAGCTGAACTATAAACCATAACTGTTTGTTCTCATAGACTCCACAGGCCAGAAGCACAGAACAGACCTGGTTTGATGGTTCCAGTGTACCGTGGACCCATCCCAATCCTGAAGAGCCAACGACAGATCTCTGGGCCTGGCCAACTCAACTTCTAAATGTCATCACTGGACAATAGAGGCAAGAACGTGACACTATTTTATGCATCCAATTAAAAGTAACAAACAAAAAGTAGTTTTCTCAAAAATAGTGCTGGGAAATTAGATATCCAAATGCAAAAGTATGAAATTGGACCCTTACCTCCTATCACATTCAAAAATAGATCAACAACCTCAGTACAAGAACCAAACCAGAAAACTCTTAGAAAAAAACACAGGAGTAACTCTTCCTGATCTCAGATTTGGCACTGGGTTCCAGACATGACACCAAAAGCATGAGCAACAAAAGAAAAATAGGTAATTTAAACTTCAGCAAAATTAAAAATTTTGTGCATTTTAGGACTGTTCAACAGAGTGAAAAGGCAACCCACAGAATAGGAAGAAAGAACTGCAGATCCTGTATCTGATAAGGGATTAATATCCAGAATGCATAAAAAACTCCACTACTCAACAACAACAAAACAAACAACCCAATTTAAAAATGGCAAAAACACCTGAATAGACATTTCCCCCCAAAGATTCACAAATAAGCACGGACAGGATGGTCAACATCACTGGTCACTACGGAAATTCAAATGGAACCGAGAGTGAGATGCCACCTCACATCTCTTAGGATGGTTCTTATCAGAACAACCGGGACATAGGGCGCCTGGGTGGCTCAGATGGTTAAGCGTCTGCCTTCGGCTCAGGTCATGATCCCAGGGTCCTGGGATCGAGTCCCGCATCGGGCTCCCTGCTAGGCGGGGAGCCTGCTTCTCCCTCTGCCTCTCTCTCTGTCTGTCTCTAATGAATAAATAAATAAAAAAAAAATCTTAAAAAAAAAAAAAAAAAAGAACAACCGGGACATAACCAATGGCAAAGGAAACCGCACTGCTGGTAGGAACAGAAAATGATGTGTCCGCTGGGGAAAGCAGTTTGGTAGGTCCTCAAAGTGCTAAACACAGAACTACTCTACGATCCAGCTGCTCCTCTCCAAGGGATACGCCCAAAGGGACTGAAAACAGGGACTGAACACATATTTATACACCAACGTTCACCGCAGCACTGTTCACAACAGCCCAAAGTGGGAAACAACCCTAGTGTCCGTCACGGGTGAAAGGACCAACAAGAGGTGGTCTATCCACGCAACGGAGCTCAGTTCAGCCCTAAAGAGAAAGGAAATTCGGACACATGCTACAACATGGATGAACTTCCAAGAAGCCAGACATAAAAGGACAAATACTGTATGATTCCATCTACACGAGGTGCACTGGACAAGCAAATCCAAAATGTCAGCAAGGGGATGGTGGCTGCCAGGGGCTGGGGAAAGAGAGCAGCGGCAACTGTTACTGCTTCCTGGCTAGGACGTTTCAGTGCAGGGGTGAAGCAACAGAGAAGGGTGCAGGTGGCAGCTGAAGGACACTGGACATAACCGTGCCACTGAGTGACACACCCAAACATCACTACAATGGTGAATTTTATATGTGTATTTTATCCAATAAAAACATGTTTTAGTTGCACTGAGTAACAAAAGCAATGTTGGTGTCATATGTAAAACATGACAAAAATATTCTACAATATCTAGTAACTGCCTTTGCCAGTGCAGGGGCCGGGGAGGAGGGAGTTACCGCAGAGGAGAGAAACATACCACAAAAACTACTATTAAGCAATGAAATGACAGTACCCAAGATCTTGACTTGAAGTCTCACAACTCCTAGAGCTATCTCCTGAGCCCATTCGCCTCCTTTTGGATGGTTGGGTCCCATCATTTGAATTATCTTCATTATCATCCTATACATTTAAAAAATTCGAAAAATAAGAAGAGAAACAATAAAAAAATAAGGAAAGAATGATTATGTATCTTCCCAGACTTGCTAAAAGGCTCCACTTAAAGGCTTTTTAAGGACAATTGATTATACAATGTTAACTTTCTATTATAATTAACAGGTATTTGGTTTTGGCATGGCAAGAATTTGGTATGGCAAGACCTGGAAGAAAACTAAAAAAAAAAGTGATCTTCAATACAATCAAAATAAGAAAATTTTTAATTAACCTGTAAATCTAAATCTACTTTTGCTTTTTTACCGACTGCAGTTAAAATGCCCTGTGCATTAAAAACACATAAAATTGCTGCAACACTCTAAAATTAAAGCAAACCCTCCTACCTCAGCTAGGGAAAAAAATGTATGGATCATTTAGTGTTTAACTCAACTCATAGCTGGTTGACAGAACTATTCTAATGGGCTCTTATATACTTCTATTTCCGTGAAAAAAGGGCATACAAGGACTAAACACACATTACCAATCCTGTTAATTTTTTTCTTACATTGCAAAAATTTAGCAAGAATATTCGCTAATAAGAGTTATCAATCTATACAGCAACACACACACATCTCCACCAAAAGAGGAGGCTTAAGCATTTTTAGGTAACATTATCTGTGATGAGACAGTAATATCAAGACTCTAAGTTGGACCATTCCATTCAGAACATGAATGAGGCATCAGATGTTAGGAAATGGATTTATTCACATATTAGCTAAGGCTTAATGACTATAAGACTTACAAAAAATAACTTTTAAAAAAATCAAGGACATGTAGCTTTGTAAGATGAATATAATTTTGTTAAATACCATGGTGCTCTTGCTACATATTAAAAAGAATGCAATCCTGTGGAAGAATACAAAGAGGTAATAAGTTATATTGGTCATGCATGCCAAAACTGGACTTGGATCTTACTGGGCACTGTCCTCCACTAGCTGAGGGAAGCTGTGGGAGCCTCTCCTTATCTGTAAAATTGAGATGATAGTACCGCCTGGATGGTGTGGCTGATGCAAGGATTAAACGAGTTAAATACATGGGAAGCACTTAGAGCAAGGCCTAGCAAATAATTAAGGGTCCTACAAAAGTTAATACAACTGTGACGATAATCAGAAAGTCTCAAATGGCTCCAGCTACTAGGAATTTACTCAGATTCCTTCCCAAACAGTAAAATATATGGCATTTTGTCCTTGTTTAGTTCCTGTATAATATAATCATTCAATTAAAGAACTCTGTATATTCCTATTAAGAAAGGCAACCAGGTATGAGATGGAGAAGAATAAATGTATTCTCCAAACATTTACATTTAACAGTAAGACTCACAATTGAGACATTTCATATTCAGTATTTCAGGAATAACTCCCTTTAAGCAAATTCAAGTATTTTATTTTTTTGTTTTACTTGCGACTGAGCATTTTAAGGAGTTTTACGTCGATTTAAGTATATTTCCCTTGGCTAAAAAGTTGAAACACTCAAAAGAGGTGAAAAATGCAAAGTCCTCAAAAAAAGCTGAAACCGGAGTTTCACAGGCAGTGCTCTGCACGTGCGATCAGCAATGCTAGGCAGAGGCACTGGGAGCACGAGGGAGCACGAGTCTGCGGCCCCTTCCACGCACAGGTGCGCGGCGGAGCGGGGAGCGTTAGGGACCGCCCGCAGTCCGCGCCACAGGTGGTGCGCCCAGGCCGCAGGTGCGCGCCCCCCGCGGCTCTCCCCAGGCGCCCCCAGCGGCCGCTTCCCCCGGGCCCCACCTTCTGCCCCAAACCCCTGACTGCGCACACGCGCTGCACCGCGCAGCCTGGCTGCCCTCCAGTCGCCTCCGGCTGAACACGCGGTCCCCTCACCTCCGGGAAACCGCACCGACTACATTTCAATTCACAAAAAGAGTTTCGCAGTAAAAATTGCAAGGGCTGCGTGCTGGTCTAGTTACTAAACTAAGTTCACGGACTAGCTTGTGCTCCAGCTGTCTGGTTGGTTCCCGGCGAGGTAACACTTTGCAGAGCCACGCCGGCCACCCCGGAGCCTCCGGAGCCGGTTTCCCGGCTCGCGGCCGGGACGCCGCAGCCCCGGGAGCCGCTTCCGCCAGGCGCGCTCCGAACCCCGGCGACGCGCACTCCGCCCCG